GGGTGGGGTGGGGTGGGGTAGGCCCGGGCGGGGCGCCAGCCCAGTGCCAGCGCCGGCACCAGCGCCAGTACGTACGTGCGGGGAACGGCGTTGTCGACATGACCGCACCCCTCCTGGCTATGAGCAGCCGGGGGCGATAGGATAGAGGACCCGAGCCCCGCAGCTAGCCGGCGTGACGCACCGCCACCGCACCCCGCCCGACCAGAGCAGCCGCGAGCCAGCAATGCCAAAGCGATAATTTATACGATATCTCGACGCCCCGGCCGGCCAGCCAGGCAGGCAGCCAGCCGGGCAGCCGAGGCAGCCGGGCAGCAGCCAGCGTCCCAAGGCAGCAACAGTAGCAATAAGGAGCCATTCTCGCGCCGCCGTCGCGCCGGCCAGCAGCAGCCAGCGGCGGCGGTGCAGTACTTACAATGTGTCGCTTTAGATAACGCCGCAACATGTGGCGCGCACCCTGCCCCGCCGCGCCCCGCCACGCCCCGCGAGCGTCCCCCAACAAGATGCCACCGTGTCGCGCGCGCGCACACAATACCCGCGCCCGCGCCCCGCCACGCCCCGCCACGCCCCGCCACGCCGTGTATCGCCCCGCCGCCGCGCCGAGGCGAACCAGAGATTAGCGACAACGATGACTCAAGGCTGCGCTGCTGGAGGCTGTGCTATACTGCTTCTGGAGGCTAGGTGCTGCTGCCTGTGGAAGCTCTGCTGCTTCCCCTGGAGGCTGTGCTGATGCCTCTGGAGGCTGTGCCGATGCCTCTGCGAGGCTGTGCTGCTCCCTCTGGTGCCTTTACTGCTGCTTATTGAGGCTTTGCTGCTGCTTCAAGAGGCTGTACTGCTTCTTCTTGAGGCTGCACTGCTGGACGCTATGCTGCTGCTTCTGGAGGCTGTGCGCTGCTTCCTCTGGAGGCTGTGTTGCTGCCTCTGGAGGCTAGGGGCTGTGCTGTTGCTTCTGGTCTGGAGGCTGTGGTGTGGTGCGCTGTCTCTTGAGGCTTTGTGTGTGCGTCTGTGAAGCGCCAAGCGCCTACATGCGGTACAGATACAGTACGGTTAAAAATAAATCCATGGCCAGTGGGCCACCTTATACTTACACATTACTGGGACGTTGTTTGAGCACTTTTATTGAGGAAGCACCAGGATTGATCTCCGTGGTGTGATCGGGAGGGAAGGCCACCGAGCTTGCAGCGCATTCTAGTAGAGGACGCTTCAGAGGAGGCCCTTCACGACGCACGGCACCAAGGTGTAAGAGTTTAATCTTCCTCTTCAGTGCATTAGCAGGCAGCTTACGTTTGACCATTTTTTCTACAACTTCTCTCCCTGCTAGCGAGTCCCGCGTGCTTGGTAGGCGGAGCTTCCGGCTGTCCCCACGTTGCGGATAACAGGTGGTCAGGACCAACAGGGTGAGACGCCTGCAGCTGCGTTTGACCGATAGCGGAGAGGGCCTAAGTAATGTGCGAACCCGCCCAGCCAGTCGGGCCACGACTCAGGCCCAGCTGAGCGCCTGCAGATGCACCAGCCGCGCCAGCTGCACCAGCTGCACCGCGCCGAAGAGGACACGGAAGAGAAGGGGCGAGGTGAGGCGTAAGTCTTTCGGACGGGAGAGTCCCAGCGGCCGCAGAGAAAGGAAAACGTGCGTGATCCAGAGTAATTATTTCAACCCGACACACTGACTCACAGTCATTTATCATTTTTATTTATTTTTAGCAAACGCTTATCTTACGTGGTCTAGCTCGACCTCCGCGCTACGTGCTGTGCCCGTGCTGTACATGATGTCTGTCCGATTGACGTCACCCGTCCGTACACACACATACTCTCACACACTCACACCACACACATGCCGCATTCGCGCCTTTGTATTTCCCATACACCACCGCCCGGGTCCACAGCGCAGCCCGCCAGGCCGTGTCAATCATCACAGTGCGCGGCTGGAACGTCCATTTAGAGATCCATCGCGATACAAGCTGGCCTGCCATACAAAACGCACACACACTCACAAAACACACATACAACACTCTGACACGCCCTGTCCGCGCTTCTCTCTCTCTCTTCCTCTGTGTGTGTGTATGTGTGTGTCTGTGTGTGTGTCTGTGTGTGTGTGCGTGTGTGTCGCAATAGTTTCGGTGGGCGCCCGGTCGTATCGTAGTCAGGCGCACCCCACAGGTAAGTAAGTGACTTTGTGTGGCAGACGCGCGGCGGCAGCGGGACCCGCGCGCCGTCGCTGCCCCTTCCTGTTTTGCCGATGGTAACTTGCCTCTTTTGAATCCCTCATCTCGTAAAGACGACGCCTGGGATGGTGCAGCAGCAGAGACGACCAGTTGTAGTGAAAGTTGCCGCTGCTGCTGTTGTTGTTGCTGTTGCTGGTGGTGGTAGTGGTGGTGGTGCAGCTGATGCTGCAGCACCATTGCATTTCAATGCAAATTTGCTCACGGCCCCATCACCAATGCAGTAGCTGTGCCGCTATGGCACACGGGACGGCACGGCGCGGCCTCACGGGGGGACCCAGCGGCGCTGGAGGAAGTAACGTGGGCACCTGGATAAAAAAGCACCCCTTCCGCGGAGAAGGAGAGTGCTCATCCTGAAGGAGAGCGCTACCCCCCTGCACAAGGAGCGCGCAGCTGGCGTTTGTCCTGGAGGAGGACGCCACCCTACTGGAGCGCGCTTATAGGAGAGTCGTCCTGCAAGAGAAAAGCTGCGGTGGACGTGAGCATTGCAGAGGCTTTTGAGGCCGGAGAGGCTCGCCGGAGAGAAGCTCCCGAAGGGTAGGCTTGCTATCAGCGGGGCATCTCGCCCCTGACCGCACTCACATCGACACAGGCAGCGGCCCGCGGCCGAGCCGCGCGGGGGTCGCTGCGGGTCGAACGGGCCTTACGGGCCGTGTGCTGTGCACCCGCTTATCGCCTAGGCGAATCTGCCCATCTCTCTCTCTCTCTCGCTCGTTCTCACTCTCTCCATCTTTTCCTTTCTCTTTATCACACCCTTCACCTCACCTCACCCCCCCCCCTTTCCTCCTCTCTCTCTCTCTCTCTCTCTCTCTCACTCTCTTCTCTCTTTTACACTTCGTCGCGACGCCTGCCGAGGCGACGCTTGTGTGGGAACCCCCTGCGATAGAGCGAGAGCGAGCAAGACTTAAAACTGGAGAGAAAGACAGAGAGAGAGGGGAGGAGTGGCTCCTGTAGCTCCTGTGGCTCTTGTGGCTGCTGCCTTGGTAGATGTTAGGTGCGTGACGAGGGAGGCCGTCAAGCGCCGAGAGGACCCCGTCAAACACACCGCAAAACACCATACCTACTTCTGGCTCTACTAGCTACCCTGGACGCAACCATGCCACATGATGAAAAGAGTTGGGTGGTGGCGCTTTGCCGATAAGACTTTCACCTCGTCTGTGTCACCGCGTCCCCGCCGCCCGCACCGTATGGCACCTGAGCCCCGGCGCGGCGCACGGAGGGGGGCAACGGGGTGGGCAGTGGGCACGCGGGCCAGCGCGGGCTGGGCGCGCACATACAACACATAGGCGCGCGGGGATAAGCATCGGGGCAGGTTTACAGTTCTTCTTATTGGAATGAGAGGCTGCAGCAGTCCGCGAGCCCCTCCAGCAGCAGCACCAGCACAACCACCACCCCGCCCCGCCCCAACCCCGCAACATCTCGTCCCTGCTGCATCCCAAGGCAGGCCGCCGGGGCCGCGCCGGGCGGACGCGGACACCGCCGGGCTGCCGATGATGAGACTTTGCCCGCTGAAAGCTGCTGAAAGCTTTCGCGCACGCTCCTCGCTCGCCCCGCGGGGTCCACGTCGCCGCGGTGACTGATGAGCCGAGTCCTGCTGCAGCCGCCGCTGGCTGGAGCCGCTGCTGCTGCCGGAGAGGGGCATTACGTCATGGCTGGGCGTGGCGTGGCGCGGTGCGGCTCCCCTTCACTTGAGCAGACGAGATAGCACAAGTGGCGGCAATGTTCGTTCGCCTGTTCGCCCATCGCCTATTCGTGTGTCCAGTCGCAACTGGGCAGGAGTGAGGAGGGGTGGACGGCTCCCGGCTCCACCCTCTCGTGCAGTTTGACAAAGGCTCCCCCTTCGTGGATCCCGCGGCCTCAAGGTCCGCCGGGGGGACCCGGCCGAGCCGAGCCAAGGCGCGGGAGGCTGGGGGGCGCTCTCCTCCCTCCTCGCGGGCTCATCGCACCGCGACGCGACGGCCTTCTGCGCGGGGCGGGGTGTGGCGGGGCGAGGGGAACGACATGACTATACATGTGCGCGCGCTCACACACACACATACACGCGCACACGAGCTGAGTGAGGGTGGAGCGCGGTGTGGTGCGACAGGACAACCAGTTGATCGTACAGTAGCCCAGCACCACCGCGTGTGTGTATGTGTGTGCGCGTGTGTATAAGAGAGAGAGAGAGAGAGACGCAATGAAATATTGTGAGGAACGCACCACCACGCTGCTGCCCTTGGGCGGGCGCTGCTGTGGGGCTCTCTTGTTCGCCCCCCCCCCCCTCTCGCTCTCCCTCTCTCTCTCGTACTCTCTCACCCCGGCGGCGCGTGACGACGGCTGAAGCCCTGGACAAGGCGGCGCTCCCGGTGCCCTCCGCACACGACGACGCGTCACCGGGTGGGTTCCCACGCTCGAGCCAGAGGGGGCCGCGGGGCCCGCGCGGGCCGCTCCAGGAGGGGTGTCGCGGCCGCCGCGACGCGTCGAAAGCCGCCGCGATCCATCACCCCTCCCGAACGCACCGCGCGCCGCGCCGCCGCGGGCAGGAGCCGTCCCGTCCCGTCCCCGTCGCGTCCCGACCCCGGCCGTATCGCATCGGCGGCGGGAGCCGTTAGGTCCACGCGACGTCGCCGGCGTGAGGCACGGCGCCCGCGGAGGGACTGTCACGAGCTCAAAACAATGGTGCTTCTGCAGAAAAGGGGAGGGGGAGGGGGTCTTCTTATCGTTTTATTTTTAATTGTTTTCTCCTTATTTCATGAACAGTTTATTTGATTTTTGTTGTATGCCGTGAGTTATGACATCAGTAATCGAGATGTACGCCCGAAGCTTATTTGGGTGAATGAGAATGACAGAAATGAAAACGTCGCGTCAACGGTGAGGGGCTGTTCTCAAGAGAAGTTCGACAAGATGCCGTCGAGCTGAGACTGGACGAATTTGGAGTTCAGGAAGAGGTACAGCACGAAGGTGTAGAAGCAGAACTTGATGAATCGGGATAAGTACAGCATGCTGCAGGACAAGTGAATATATATGTCAGTGAGAGAAATGAGTCGGTTTTGTTAAGGAGCACATTAGAGGTCTGAAAGGTCTGCTTACAAGAGGTAAAATTTGCGGTCCGAGTCGAGGGAATCGTCGGGCATCTTCATGAGGTAGCGACGCCCTCCGAGCACGGCCTTCTCGAAGAAGTCCCTGGGCTGGCGGTCCACGATGGCGTAGCTGAACGCCTTGCGGTCCTTGAGCGGGATCTGCTCGTCCAGCTGCAGCAGTCTTTCGTTGGCGAACCGCCACGTCCGCGTTGTGAAGTGGCTCAGCGCCGTGTTGGCCGTGTACAGCTTGCGCTGGAGCTTCATCAGCCTGACGGCCCGGAGTGAACGGTATCGGATTTTGTTTCTTCAATGTTGTATAATGTTTTTAGAAAATCTCTTACGAATACGACGAAGATTTTACCCACCTGAACTTGTGTCCTACGAGTGTGAGGGCGGCGTCAGCGATGAGTGCGGGGATGAGGTGCGTGAGGAAGAACAGGACGTAGTAGACGAAGTGGTTGGGCGTGATGATGCCGGACGGCACCCACACCACCTTGCCGACGGGGCACGCCTCCAGCATGTCGAGCCCCAGGTCCACCATCTCGCCCATGGTGATGGGCGTCACCGAGGACGACGCGCAGTTGTACACGTTGCACTTCTTCTTCTCCTCGCCGCTGCAACAGACACACACAGGAGCTGGAGGCGCCGCCGTCTTGGCACCAGGCCCCCGAACAGAAGCTCGGCCGCACCACGACGCGCACGGCTACGACGGCGGGGCCGGGGGAAGGAAGGCGATAAGCAAATAAGACTGCTTGGCACGATCCGGAGCAGCAGCAGGCGGCCCGGCCGGGGGAGACTCACGTCTCCATGGCTTTCTTCCAGGCGGTCACAATGATGGCCTTGATGCACACGTCCACGGGAATGTAGTCGGCGACGATGTTCTTGTCGGCCAGGGTGACGTGCACGACCCCTTTGGCGGCGCCGACCAGCAGCGCCACGGGCCCGTTGAAGTTGTCGACCCACCCCGCCACCGGCTCGCTGTCCGTGGAGATGACTGCGGGGCGCACAAGAAACGGGCCGCTCAGGAAAGAGGAGGAAGAAATAACCGTGGAGACACGCGGACGAGGGGTCCTTTACTGTAAATTCAAGCGTACACCGATTTTTCTGTTCGTGCTTGATTTTTTCTTATTTTCTCCCGACTTTTTACTACCTTTTACCTGACCTTTTCCTACCCCTCTCCTGATTTTTTTCTGATCTTTCCTTGATTTTTTCTGATTTTTGGGGGGAAGCTGAACACTGAATTTTTATTGAGTGTAGTACCCCTCGCGCGCAGGTGCTTCAGCAGCACACTCACCGATGGACGGCCTGAAGATGACGGCGGGCAGCCTGTCGCTGTGGTCGTTGATGACGTGCTCGGCCAACGACTTGGCGAAGGTGTACGTGTTGGGCAGGGCGCGGGGCTCGCCGATGCCCATGTACTTGTGCGTCAGCACCTTGAGCCCCTCCTCGTCGGCGTTCTCCACGATGCGCAGCGTCTCCCGCCAGTCGGCGTGCGGCGGGTACACCTGCTCGCCGATCTCGTACCGGTCCACGTTGCAGTAGGTGGTGGACACGTGCACGAACGCCTGTGGCAAAGACGGGTAGCTTGATTTTTTTTAACTTGCTCAAACCCTTCAAAAAACCAAAAAGGACGCGCACGGGAGCACGGAGCACGGCCGCGATGAGCACGTCCCCGTCGTCGACATCGCACATGCGGCGACGACGCGGACGTGCGCGACACAACAGCAAAACGCGCCGTCGGAAGAGAAATTGGCGGACGCCGAGTGCGTGGAACGATCGAGCGGGCTGCAAAATGTTTTGCCCAGTTTGTGCCGCTCCTGCGGCTGCAACAAGAAGATTTAACGCGCGCGCCGCAGCGGCGGCAGGGCGTGAGTTGGCGTTCGCGCCGCCGCAGTGTCTAGGTCAGGGTGAGGAGCGGCGGCGAGGAGGCCCGGGCGCCCCGCCGCGCGAGCGCGCCGAGCTCCGCGCGCGCCCGCAGCACGGCACGGCCCATGCCCATGCATGCCATCACTGCGCCTCGCCCGGCAGTAAAGCTTTTCATAATCGCAAACTGAATAATAACGACAACAAATGGTTTTACGTGCTGCCGCGCCAGCCCAGCCGCCATTAGCACATACAATATGAGCCGAGGTCGGAGGCCGCGGGCGCGCCTGCGGGCGCGGCGGGGGGAGCCCCGAGGAGGAGGAGAGGTGTGTGTCTGGCTTGGAGCTGGGCGGGGAGGCCCGCGAGTTTGAAGTCTTTTTCGTCTCTGAAAACAAAACCACCCACCCCCTTCAAGTACCACCAAGTACGCCACCCGTGCTCCCGTTTTTGGACTGACCGCGAGCTGGGGCATCTCCAGGCCCATGTTGACGAGCTCCAGGGTGCCGCGCGTGTTGAGCAGCACCGAGTCCTTGAGCGGGTCGTTGAAGCGCACCGTCGCCGCCGAGTGGAAGATGACGGACACCTGCTGCTTGAGCCGCGCCCGCCACTCTGGCGACAGCCCCAGGCCCTTCAGCTTGAGGTCGGCGGGCACGACGTGCACCTTGCGACGCGCCTCATCGCGCACCAGGTCGAACAGCTGGAACATTAAACAGCGTGGGTCAGCTCGGCAACCACAGCCCTACCAACTCCCGCGCAAACATTTAAATAACATCTTTTCGTTTTTTCTTGTTTATCTTTTTTTCTCCTCCACATAGTCCTCATTGCGAGAGCAGGTCGTCAGCTGACTTTGCTCATCGCTGTGGGTGCGGCGGCGGCGGTCAAGTGCTGTTTCCCGAGAGGTAATTTGGCGCTCCACACCACGCCCCGCCCCGCCCCGCCCCAGCCGTTGGAAAGGTTTGGTCCAGCCCCGCGGCCCAGAACGGCCAGGCCAGGCCGCGCAAGGCCTGCCCATCTGCTGACCTCGCTGTGCAGGCCACCACGCCCCGCCCCGCGCCGCTGGCCGAGGTGCGGTCGGTCTGACCCGGTCCACTCGGCTCGCCTCCAGTAAAGGGGTTTTTCATTACGGCCCCACGGGTCGCACCCCACCTCCGCCCCGCCCCCGCAGCGTTGCAGTGCAGGTCGCTCGCGGGGCGTCCCGCTAAGTGCGCACAGTGACTGATGCTGTTATACGGCCCCCGCAGCGCCCCGCCCCGCACCA